CTGGGGCGGCCCGGGTGAAGAGCACTGCCCAGGGAGGCCGGGGTGCTGCAGTCAGAGCCTCAACAGCCTTACAGCTCCTGAGCTGTGGAGTGACGCAGCAAGTATCCCAGGCTCTAGGCCACCGTCGTGCCTCAGCGGCTGTGGAAAACCCCGTTGGCTGCCTTGCCCCCACCACCTGGGACCTCTCCAGACTCTGATACGGGCTCAGTTAGAGGGGAGGGAAGCGCTGTGAGCGGGGTTTCTTGCTGCTGTTGCATAAACCGCGAGTGGTCCAAGGCCTCAGGGCCGGCTGCGTGTTCTTACCGTACTCTCCTTGCCTTTCGATCGTCCCCGTGAAATAGGAGACAGTCCGGGAGGAGCCGAGAAAAACTGAGTGGATGAAATCGTCCTGTTAGACGCCTGGCATGTAGAGAGCAGCAGTGCTCAGACCTGAATGAACATAAATGTCACCTAGCTTAGTTACAAGGAAGGTTTCCCACAGCACAAGGATATGTTAAGTAATTCTACATTTTAATATCTTAAGCCTAATTTGAGCAGTGAAGTCTTTCAAAGTCAGAACTAATTACTGACGTCTAATAAGATTTTTGTATGTTACTGTTTCCAGAGCGCAGAGGTTTTAGAGGACGCCTGGAGGAGTACTTTGACTCAGATATTCTTGCTGTCTCTCCATCATTCTGTTCCTTCCCACTGCTCTCCTCGCTTACTACATTTGCCACTGTAGTTTTTATACAGCTGTGGCAATGTAGATGGCTACTTCTGCCTGTGTTGGATGTACACCAGCTCAGTGTAAAATACCAATAGCACACAAAAGGATCAGATGTGCTGACTTCAGAGCATACTAGAAAAGTCTTCCTCTATAACCCTTAGTTAGATAAAAATTAATCTTTTTTGATAAAAGCATATGTTTAACTGCTAAGTAAAGCTATTGTGCTACTGAAGTCTGCTGTTCCAAGTAGGCAAGTCTTTGACCAGCTGGGCTCCAGTAAAAGAGAAAAGGGGGCATTTTCAATATTAACCTTGTATTTTTTCTAGAGGACTTTTGATGCGGCTGCTGAAAAGGGATTTTTTTAAGAATATTCTGGCAATCATATTTCTTTTTTTTTTTTTTTGAAAGCATTGTACTTTATATTTTAAATCACAAAGAATTATGATGTATAAAAGAGAAGTAATTTAATAGTAAAAGGACATTGTATAGCAACAAAAATTCCCTAGTATACTATAGGCAAGGTTTCATGTTATTAAAGTGTTAAAATATCCATTATAGTCCTACTAAAAATAGCAAAATTCTCATTTGCTTACATGAGATTAATGTTTCACTGCTTTTATCTTAGTTATTTACATTCTGATCTTGCAGATGACTCTCTTTGGAGGAAGTGGCCTACATCTATGGAAAAATAGGGGTAAGTTACTACCCCTAAGGCCAACTAGTAGGGTTTCTGATTTGGCAGTGTTTTACACTACTTTTGCATAGTATAAAGAACTGCACAGCATACAATGTAATAGAAAAGCATTTGTAGTGACAGTAAAAGTGGGCCTTAATTATTTCATGGATGGTTTTCAGTAATTTAAAATTGGTGGAAACCAGATAGAAATACCTTGTTAAGGAATATTACTAGAGATAATAGATTTATTCATAAAACTTGACAAGCTGAAATAAATCAAATTGACCTTTATCTCCACCTACAAAATTATGTATTCCCTATTTTTAATGGAAAAATAAGCCTATTAGATATTACAGTCCTCTAAATTTTAATGTCTGATTGTTACCAAGATGTGTTCACACTTTAACACAGCTTTATAATAACATATTTTACAATTAATTCCACAAAGAGGGATATGGGCCAGCTCCTACTTTTATTGGAGGTATTTTAATTTTAAACATAAAATGCAGAAAAATTGCCTCTATCTCTTGCTCTTAATAACAGATCTCGGTGCCCTTGAAAAGGGAGGGATACAGAACTGATGATTTTGTAGAGTATAGCATATCCAACACACCAGGTGGATAAGGAATCTCATAGATTATGTGTTTCTTTGGAAGAAGACTTTTATGACATCAGGAAGATCATTTTAAGATTAGAGAGAAATGAACATCTTCAGCAAGATGAGCATATCTGTATTTGTAAATACATACATTAAAATGATCCACACTGTCCAGAAAATGCTTGAAGTCGATTGTTCTATTTCTCATTCCCTCCCTACAGTTAATTTATCTCATCCACCTGTTGTAACTTGCTATAAAGTGAATTATGAACTCTCTGGGCCAGGGACTATTTTTCTTTGCAAGTCATCTTAGTGTTTAGCACCTTGATGTTAATTAACGCCTGTAGGCATTTCTGCAAAACAGCTATTAAATACCAATCCAAGTTGATCAACTCCTCCCATGCACTTCATGCTACTTTAGAAGTCAAACGTGCACACCGGGCAGGTGTTCCAGGTGTTACAAAGGGAGTAAGGGTACCTAAATTAGTGGGAGTATAAGGAAGCTGACATATTCAACCTCTGATAATTGAAGGTAAGGGTGAAGCAAGGCTTTGATTATCCTGTAGAAGCCTTGAATGAAGGAGGTGTACAGCAAGAAGTATACACTTTCTTTGTGTAAGTATGTAGCTAAATGGGGGGGGGGGGGCCTTTTTTATGA